CATTATCTGCCACGTCCAACACCGTTAAAGCAAGAGTCGAAAACCCGGAGTTCAGGACTTCATTGTCTCCGCCTGTGCTAAACCCAATGGTTCCTAGATATCAAGCAAATGCTGAAGCTGAGAGAACGGTACGTAATCGACCATTGGTACCACCAGTTTATAAAAAGCCAATTTTGGTTGCTTCAAAATTTGATGGAAGCACGCCCTTAATGGACTATTTAGTTCACTTCGAGACGTGTATTAAGTTAAACGGATGGACACCAGAAGAGCAGGGTAATAAATGTAATTGGCGCAGATCCAACTCAGTTCGAAGAATTGCAGGAAATGGATGCTGATCTTAAGCTCTTTAGGAAATGGAAAAAGACAGGTGTACAGCCCAGTCTAGAAGACGTTTCCCCAGAATCAGAATGTATTAAAAAGCTGTACAACCAGTGGCAATATATCGAGTTGGTAAATGGGATTCTTAGCAGGAAAGTTAAATCTCCTGCCAAACAAGAAAGATACCAGAAACTAGTACCGAAGGAACACAGACAGACTGTTATTAGTCTGGCGCACGATTTACCCACTGGAGGACACTTGGGGGTAACCAAGACTCTTGCCAGACTTAAAACAACCTACTACTGGCCAAATCTGTACGAGATTATGTAAAGGGTTGCGATGTCTGTAACAGAAGAAAGGGAAACAAGAAAAGGGGTAAACTTAGCTCATTTTTAGCGGGCGCACCAGTGGAAAGAATTGCCATTGATATTATGGGTAGGATAGACCCACCAACGTCGTCAGGCAATTGCTATATACTAGTAATCTCCGATTATTTTACAAAATGGACGGAAGCTTTTCCTATGGCTAATATGGAGACCATAACAATCGCAAAGATTTTAGTTGAAGAGGTGTTTCTACGGATTTGGCTACCATTTCAGATCCATAGTGACCAGGGAAGCCAGTTCGAGGGTAAACTTTTTGCAGAAATTTGTAAATTACTTGGTATAACTAAGACTCGAACAACCGCTTATCATCCCCAATCTGATGGACAGGTAGAACGATTTAATCGGACATTACAGAACATGTTAGCTGCTTACGTCCGCACGAAGGAAGATGACTGGGATGACTATCTACCGTATGTAATGTTTGCATATCGATGCACTTTGCAAGAAAGTTCCGGGTGTTCACCGAACTTCTTAATGTTTGGTCGGGATGTTTACACCCCTCTCGAACTCCACTATGGACTTCCACCAGACGTAGAAGAAAATATCGGTAGCTTTGCTGCTAATATACGAGAAAAATTTCAGGATACCTTTGCGTTTACCAGAGACCACCTGAAAAATTCGGCTGCTAGACAGAAGAAATATTACGATTTAAAGTCGTTTTCCAGAAAATTCCAAACAGGAGATACGGTTATGTCCATTCCCAAGTGCATAAAAAAGGCATTCCGCCAAAATTCCATAAACCTTGGACAGGACCTTTCAAGATTGTAAAGAAAATCACTGATACAACGATGGAAATTGATTTTGGTATGAAACAGAAAGTAGTGCATACGGACAGATTAAAACTTTGTCCTGTCAAAGAGACATGTGATGAGCCTACTTCCGGTACCAGTGTTTTTCAAGATTTTGACCATAGTCAGGGAGAAATCGAAACCGAAACTACTCGTCAAAATCAAGAAGAAAACCCTAGTTATTTTCGGTCAAAATATAATCGACAAACGAAGTTACCTTCGAGATTTAAAGAATACGTCCTGTATTGAAATGGCTGAATTTTGCAGACATTGCGGTAAAAAGTGGAAGACAGAAAAAGTCACGAAAAATCTTGTCAACAGAGAATAACGAGATGTCGAGTTTGTGGTAGATCATATACCTCTAAGTTAAACTTAGAAAACCACATGTTCTCTAAACATCAAGTGGAAATGGTAGCAACCAGACGCCCGACAAGACCGCAACTTTCAGTTCCACAGCCTCGCATCAGAAGCACAATTCGGGTTGTATCTACTCCCACACAACGTAATGCAGAAAGTACTTTAACAAGAAATGATATTGGAGAGGACACCGAAATTGAATTAATGTCTGAAACTTCACAAACTGTCAGTCAACTTAATGACAGTCGAGAAGAAATGTATATATTAAACGAAACAACCGGAGAGTTTGTTAGGGTCCCAAATACACCCACAGAATCAGCAACAACCACCCGGGCTACAAACAGATCTTCAAGAACTGTAGGTGTTCAAGTTAGCCAGACGATGGAATTAAGGCTTGATTTATACATCGAGGACGAGTGAGAAGTTACGAAGGCTTGGGTAGTGAAGCAGTCAAGAGCCAGGATGATCGCGACTACTTTGTTTTTTTATATTTACTGATACTATCATATTTCATTATTTGTTAGCGTAGGACATTGTCCTTTATATATATATATTAAACATGTATTATGTCTTATCATAGAAGTCTATAGTGTTATGTTCTTTCGTAATCATTTGTTTAAATACCTTAATTCTTCGTACCTTTCTAACCAGGGTAATTATATAACTGTTAAATTAAACAACGGATAACTCCTACCTCTTAAAATGATTTATATAATGAGTAAATAATTATTATTATCTAATGATTGATGTTTTGTGACATATATAGTGTAACCAATATATACATTGTACTTTTATAATCAATATGATACTGTTTATTAGTCGTGTTTATGTTCTTATGATTTGAATTTATTCATGCAATGTTTGTAAATCGCCAGTAGGAATAAATGTCTCTTATAGATACGTCTAGATGGCTGGAATTTGCACGGTAGGCTCGCCTCTGGGACAGCGTTCGAAGGTCAGCTATGAACTCGCTGATATCGACAAGCTACGTTCTGATGGCACAGAAGCTCATTTAAGGCTTCTTTCTTTTTCAACGAGTTGCAGATAGAAGAAAAGTACGGCGAATGCGTTTCGCCCGAAAAAGGAAAGACACTGGCAGATTCACGAACAAGTACGGCGAATCCTATTCGCCCGAAAAAGTGAAGACACTTTTAGAGAACGGTAAACGCTGTTCACCCGAAAAAGGACAGTAATTAATAGAAATAAACGTATTTAAGCTGTAAATACTGATATAAATATATTTTGAAAGTTTTTGTTACATAAAGGTTTGAAAACTGAACGAGTCTGTTTTATTCCTACGGTGAAGCTTATTATAATTTTAGCAAAACATCGTTACTGACCACTTTTTAGCTGGTCCTTACACACCCTTCCGAAGTTCCGTTTACCGGTGGCTCGTGATCAGCCCGAAATTGATCACCGGTGGCAGAGATACCAAGCTACCCATACCCCAAACGTGGTTATCCCTTCAAGGAAACGTTACACGTGCGCGCTGTATCATAAGGTATGTTATTGAGTCAACTGGCGTGGTTTCGATTCCCCGGTTGTACGTGACAAAAAGTAGGGTCGCCTGTCCAACCTCGTGGGTTTTCTCCGGGTCCTTCGGTTTCCTCCTATTGTTAATGACCTCTACGCGAAAGCGAATTGTTGAAATAAAATTAAACCATATGTTAGTCCCGAAATGACCTAGTCTGTGTCGAGTGGACGTTTAACCCCATACAACCCTATAGTTCCTATACAATCAATTTTTATTTGATAATCACGTGATTGTACAGGAAAGAAAGTATTCCTTACAAAGTTCAAATGAAAAACCATCAGTTTATTTAGACCATATATTATCTTTATCTTACAGAGTGGACGGATACGAAACTTAATCTGTAATTGAATAATTACAATTTAACCTTCAAATTATGGACCCATATCCCGAGATAATCAACGGCGTCCTGGCAAGGAACAGTGTATACTTGTTCGGATGGGACGAATCGAGGTCGCGTATACGCATTGCGTAACACTATCTTAGTGATAACTGAGATCAGTTTAGTAAATATAGGATTTACTTACATCAGGTATATAACACAATTACATCAATACTACTGAAACTAGACTATACTGGAACTAGACTACATCGAGGACTAGACTAGGTCAGGAACACATCTAACAATATTAAATCCACCATTCTGCCCTTCTGCCAAGGCAGCAACTGAACTCGGGTGAGTCCATGCACTCGTCCAACCTCTCTTCTCCGCCCGTCTGTGGTCGTCTTTAGTTGACTGCCTAACTGTCAGCAAACTCCTTGTTATATACCTTCGTACACATGGTCATAATTATATGCAATTGTCTCTTTTATCTCGTCACAGCATGCTTACTGACCAATACGTAGATCCTTTGCAGTAAAGCGGAACGTGTGCACAAATCACATGTAGCTTGTAAATGACATATGGGATTAATTACATGTTTAATTAGATCATCGCCTGTCTGTACCTTTAAGAGAAGTTTATACAGAGTTGAAATGTCAATATCATATATTATCAAAAATCAGCTGAGGTCATAAAATTATAAGCATCCAAAATAACCGTTAAATTTTATGAAAGTTAAAGAGTACTTTGTTACAATTGTGGCGTGCACGTAAAACGTATTCTTGCCAGTTTTCATCAGAGCTATATGCATGGTGTGTGCCCGTCTTCAGTAGCCAGGCTAGAGGTTATAGCAGGACATTATAACATAGTATTCAGGTATAAAAATACAAAACATTTGGTTTATTAGAAACTTCTTCATCCAAGCAGAACGTTATAACATAGGAGAGAGAGAGAGCGGTTAAACGTCCACTCGACACAAACGAGGTCATTTCAGGACTAACATATGGTTTAATTCTATTTCAATAATTCGCTTACGCGTAGGGGTCTTTGGCAGTGGGAGGAAACCGGAGGACCCGCAGAAAACCCACGAGGTTGGACAGGCGACCCTACTCCTCGTTACGTACAACCGAGGATTCGAAACCACGTCAGTTGACTCAATGACAGGCCGTATGATACAGCACGCACCTGCTAACCATTCAGCCCCCCCCCCCCTTATAACACAGTATTCAAGTGTAAATTTACACAACAATTAGTTTATTAGATACGCCTCCATTCAAGCAGAACATTATAACACAATATTCAAGTATACATTTACAAAACAATTAGTTTATTGCCTTCATTCAAGCAGACCAGTATAACACAATATTCATGTATAATTTTACGAAACAGTTTATTAGATATGAAAAGAAAATATCACATATATATTATAATAGGCCACCAGGGCTGAGTTGCTGCCTTCCATATATGGCCACATTGTTTATGTTGATTTATTACAATAAACTTTCATTCTTATTATAAATAGCTTCTGAAAGTTTATAAAACTTTAGTGATTTTTTGTCGTTTTCCTGTTTCCTTTCCTGGTTTTCCCGTTTCCTTTACTGATTCTCCAGCGATAAAACTTTGTCCCTGCGCTATTTCATTTCCATCTACAATATCAACTAAATCATCGTCGATATCCAACCGATATCTACAGTATTGCACTGAAATTTAATAGAATGAATTAATAATTCACTTATTAATCGGTTTATACGAAAGCGTGTAAATTTGAACTTTAATTGGTTGGGGGAGATACATGGCTGATGTAAAATTAAATGTTATATTTGGTTCAAGATATTTGCAACCTCTCATAATTTTCTCAGAGGAAGTAAGCTAGATGCCGCTCCCCCTCCTCCGGACCCCATTTATCACAACTTTCCTGGATTCGCCACTGTATAAACTAACACCCATCCGACCCAACCGAAATGGAATGCACAAAATGAGTAAGTTTTCATCGGACAACGGCGTTTCCCCTCCACCACAACACACACATGTCATCATATATAACGAGTTTACAGTGACGATGAACATACCAAGATAAAGTGAGGCTAAAAGAAAAGCTTTTGATTAACTATATTCGGAAAGCCGCGGTGGTTCAGTGAGATGATCAAGAAAATTTCTTAGGATTTTCCAGTGTGATTTCGGGACGAAACGTCAAGGTCTTGTTTACACGTTGGCGTGCACGTAAAAGATCCCATGACAGTTGGAATCCGAATTAAAAGTAGGCAGCAGTGCGTTGTATACTCCGCTGTAGAAAAGTAGAATGTTAAATCCCATTCCGTGAGAAATAATCCAAATTAACACGTTGGTTAATGAGTATGTTCACCTGTTCACCATTCGTAGACGTTTTAAATATCATTTACAAAAAAAGGAATAGTGTATATTTTATAACTAATAATACAGAGTAAGATTATTAATATTTAAAGGGACAATAACACTCTTGCTGGCTTGACAGCTCCAGAAAATAAAAAATAGCCTTATTCTAAGTACTAGATGTGTTAGTGTCCTACCTGTTGTGTAAATTATCCATTAAATCCCATTTTACTTGTCCAGAGGGTTCAAAAATATTTTTAAATCCAAGTCACATTTGAAAAGCTTTAGGTCAGGCTTTTCAAATCATTTAGTTGAATTTTTCCAATTTTTAAAATTAGGTGTGTTAAGATGAAATTTGTATCATCAATTAATTGAAATATTGTAAAATCGTACAATTTGTTGACCAGAATAAAGATTGGGACATATTATTCAGTTACAACAAGAGTGGTATTTATCCTTTAAAACAACTTACAGTCGTCATCATTGACATCCATTTCAAAAACAAATGGTCCATTGTAGAATTCTTTAGGGGTGAGGATTCCATCACCTGTAAATCCAAGAAAAAAAATTAATCAATTTGATGAAGAAATTGGAATACAAAAATTCGTTTGAAAGACAGTATGACTATTTGGACAAATGACTTTCGTTACAGGGGAAATTTAATGATGTGAGGGAAAAGTACAATCTGGTTATGACACAAGCTGGTTTTGACAGCTTAATCAGGGGCAAACGTGAGGCAAAATAGCCTATTTACATTTTTTGTGGAGTATTTTGCTCAGAATATTGAACCGCTGGGAAAAGATAAATGTAAAATATCGAACCCATTATATAATAATTATGTCCTGGCAAGCGTCTTTATTATAAACTACATTGTGTAAACGTAAAAGCCTTTCCATACAATTTACCAGTACTGAATCCACACTTTTAAATGTACCGTTTGTATGATATGAACTAGATGTACGTAACTTAAAACGGGATTTCTCTCTTAAAAATAAGGGGGGGGGGGGCTTAAACACAATTTACAAATACGAAGACTGATCAACGCAATTAAAGAGAGAGAGAGAGAGAGAGAGAGAGAGAGAGAGAAATGGGGTTTAACGTCCACTCGACACAAACTAGGTCATTTCGGGACTAACATATGGTTTAATTTTATTAACATAATTCGCTTGCGCGTAGGGGTCTTTAGCAGTGGGAGGAAACCGGAGACCCCGGAGAAAACCCACGAGGTTGGACAGGCGACCCTACTCCTTGCCACGTACAACCGGGGATTCGAAACCACGCCAGTCGACTCAATGACAGACTTTATGATACAGCGCGCACACGCCATCCCCCCCCCCCCACGCAATTAAAGGGATACTAGACCATGTATAGCACGAAGAGAAATTTTCCATACTTGCCTTCTTGCATTCGCGTTTAACCTCATATCAAAGCGAAGCCGCGACGGAGCGAAATTAGGACGATTAGTGGCGTCGTCTTGGCTTCGCCTTTGCAGCAAGTTAACACTAAGTATCGAAGAAGCGAAAGTGTTCGAGGTAACTGAATTAGCTAACACCATTACTCACCATTGACATCAGCGATTTTATAAGCTAGAAGGAAATCATGATGGGCTTCATCTTCACCAATCGCCATAGCAAGTTCCTTTCTACTGATCATTCCATCATCATTTATATCATAAGCTGACAGTTGGTTGGCTAGTGGGGTCACGTGGTTTTCTTCGGCCTGGTGGATACAACAAGTTTTTTCTTTATGAAACATACTTTTAATTTAGTTAACGAAAGCCGACAATCTACAACAATCGTGGTGATATTTTCTCTTAATTCCAATCTGGAATTCATAGAGAAACATTTAAATAAATAGTTAAAAAATATATATGCAGTCACGTACAGAGGTCAGGAGATATCTTGGAGTCAACTCCTTGATTGTATTCTCCTCAAGACTCAAATGTGAAACCTATTGTATTCAGGAAGGTGAGCTGTCTGCATTAGACCAGTAGGAGGAGTAGGACGTTAAACCCCATTTCATTTGATTTGAGAAATGTGAGAAAGGAAGACATTTTAAATAGATATTATTAGATGAAATAAACTTTGTTTTTCAAATTAAGTAGTAAAGGGCCATAATTTCGAATTTCATAAAACTTAATTCTAATTTCGCTCTTTGATAGATGTGTATTAATGGGAAAACAATTGGCACTTAGATATGGATGAAACTAATCGTAAACTAAACAAAACGCTCATGTACTAAAGCGTGTTCAATAGATCGTATAATTGGCTTTAATACACATTTGGCCTTGCCCTAAGCGACAACCTTTCTTGTGAGGGCGTTTTTTTGAGATTTGGAAGTGAATACGATTTTCCTTTGACAAATCGTAAGATACTTAGTTGTCAGCAACAAACGTAATCGTCCCTCTACTTTAGATACAACAGTTATATAAATGAAATAGTTTGACGTTAAGGAACATGTTATTGTGCTGTAGTCATGATGCCAAATGAACAGCAAGAACCGCCCAATGTATAAAACATTGAACGCGTATGAGTGGGCTGTAACTCACCATAACAGCAGCTCGTTTTCCTCTACATACTCTTCTGCATACTACGCTACATATACCTTCAATTCTACAAACACGTGGACAAGCAGCGCAGCCCGCTTCCTTAATGAATCCGCCCACTTTCTTTATTGCTCTACCAGCTTTCCTGGCGAGTCTTCTAAAAAAACCGGCGTCACTGTCATTAATTAGACAAATGGCTATAAATGCAATCAGTAACAATGACAATTTCATCCTTGCTCTCTGTAGATAAAAAATACAATCTGGGTCAATACAATACTTGAGACTAACATATAACAATGGTTGATTTCCTTTACAATGTTAATGGGTCGCATTTGTAACCGATATTAACTTTCTGTTACCAAAATGGCTCTAGATAGCTAACGTACAAGGGAGACTGGGGTTTGATTTCAGAATAAGTAGGCAGAAACGCGACCTTTTTTCGTCTTCATTTGTGCATTCGGTGTTTTGGAACTGTCGGTTATCTTAGCATATTTTTTAATCATATGACTTTCACTCCGTATCAACAGGACGAATCTCAGCGTTAAAATACCCAAAACACGGTAATTATTGCTATAAACTTTAAGCATCGATTGCCGATTGAATCAATGTGGTTTCGCAAAGAAATAGAAAGGTTTAAAATTGTATAATAAAAAAGGACTGATAGAAACCCAATACATGGGTGTTTTTATAAAACGAGTATAACCAAAACATAAAGTAAGATTTTAAAGTTTAAAGAACATACCTTTTTTGTACTTTAACTTTTTCTTTGTGTTCTAAGTTGTTGGTTTCTTTATGTGACTGAATTTGAATCCAGAATTTATATATTCAGGGTGTATCCGGGACTGTCAATTCCAAGTTTTATAGTTAGTGCAGTGCATCCTGTTCTGTCAACTACCCCTGTCTTTTTTGTTTTGTTTATTTTAAGTGTTTTTGAAAACAATGTGATTTGAATGACAGTTTTAATAGAATAATTGAAATATTTGTTTTACATTTTCGGGATTTTATTCACGGAACCTCAAGAGGAATTGTGACTTTCAAGAAGATGAGCAAAAGAGAGAAAAATTGGGTTTAACGTCCACCAGACACAAACTAGGTCATTCGAGACTAACATGGTTCAATTTTATTTCAATAATTCGCTTGTGCGTAGGGGTCTTTAGCCGTGGGAGGAAACCGGAGAAAACCAACGAGGTTGGACAGGCGACCATACTCCTTGTCACGTACAACCGGGGAATCGAAACCAGGCCAGTTACCTCAATGACAGACCTTATGATACAACGCGCACGCTCTAACCATTCGACCATCCACCCTCACTCAATAAGATGTTGATACCCTAGACATGAATATTGAAAATTGTCGGCCACATGAGGCTTACGCCTTCACAATTGTTACTATGTATAACAATACCATACATCTGGATAGCCGCCGTGATGATCCCGTGAGTAAGACGCTGTCTCATTAACCATGAGGTCCCGGGTTCGATCCCGGTGTTTTTGCCGAAAAAAAAGCAATTGTTAGTGGTGCGGGACAGACGACAAGGAACTGGGCTAGTCGTTCGGAATGGACGAAAAAATCGAGATCATGCAGAAAACTTTGACGTTATATGGGGTTATTAATCGGCGACGGCTACTGAAGACGGTGAAAAAACCAGCGGATGACATTTTATACATATCTACAGACAGGGGGTATTCCACGTAGAAATTGAAGTTCTATAGCTTCCATGGCAAATTGGAATTCGAAGACAAATAATCGGAAATACCACTGTCCGAGTATTTAAACCCATTCCTTTTTGTTTCGTTTCGTATTAATTTTCACCCATTTTTTTTTCGGAAAGTCTAAAAACCACGCACCATTTTACCTTGAAGCTAAAACCATACTGTTAAAGACTGACGTCATTATCATATCATTGAGTTGTCACAAACATAAATGTCATATTCACTATGACATTTATTAGACCAAAAGATAAATGATGTCTTCCTGAGTACCTACACAGTTTTAAATAATAAGTCAGTTTACACTCGCTAGGCTGCATCTAAGTTGACACTTTCTGTAGCGTAAATTCGACCTGTCAGTGGTCGGAACAGGTACACTATATTCGGTTGACTAACTATAATAAGAACAATATTATAGCTAAATACAGATGCTTAAAGTCTTCTGCGAAACTCGTAGTCATCTTTACTCTTTAGCTTGTATTGGTGTAAAAATCTATTGTTAATACTGTCGCCAAGCAGTTTGTTGATAACTTTTTTCTCGAGTAGAGTAAAGACGTCTCTGACCAGAAGATTATATATCCTTTTATTTAACCGAGTTTACTTTCAGCAGATGACAGTCTCCACTGTCCCTTGTCCCTTATATACATGGTAAACTATATCTTATATACATTGTAAACTCTATCTTATATACATGGTAAACTCTATCTTATATACATGGTAAACTCTATCTTACATACATGGTAAACTTTATCTTATATACATGGTAAACTCTGTCTTATATACATGGTAAACTCTGTCTTATATACATGGTAAACTCTATCTTATATACATGGTAAACTACATGGTAAACTCTATCTTATATACATGGTAAACTCTATCTTATATACATGGTAAACTCTATCTTATATACATGGTAAACTCTATCTTATATACATGGTAAACTTTATCTTATATACATGGTAAACTCTATCCTATATACATGGTAAACTCTATCTTATATACATGGTAAACTCTATCTTATATACATGGTAAACTCTGTCTTATATACATGGTAAAGTCTATCGTATATACATGGTAAACTCTATCTTATATATATGGTAAACTCTATCTTATATATATGGTAAACTCTATATGGTAAACTCTATCTTATATACATGGTAAACTCTATCTTATATACATGGTAAACTCTATCTTATATACATGGTAAACTCTATCTTATATACATGGTAAACTCTATCTTATATACATGGTAAACTACATGGTAAACTCTATCTTATATACATGGTAAACTCTATCTTATATACATGGTAAACTCTATCTTATATACATGGTAAACTTTATCTTTTATATTTTCTCCCTCTCTTTATCTTGACAACATGGCTTTACATTTTCTCCATGTTGAACTTTCCGTCATTCTGAAATGTACGGGAGGCTGATCGCCAATTACACGTCTGTTTATTGTCGGATGACGTCATGATATTATAATCCGCCCGCCGCCATCTTAACGTGTTCATTGATGGACCTGTTTTTAACCCGTCTGAATCCAAGCCATGAGATTATTTAGCGATGCTATTTTGATTTTGTTTTCCTAATTAAATGTTAGTTAATCAATCTGAGTACATATTAGCGAGGATTACGCTAAGTTAACAGGCATTAGATCCAACCCTTGTCCCTCAATATGAAGGGGTTAGGTGGTCTAGTTGTTTAACGAGTCAAGTGGCGTTGTTTTGATTCCCCGCTAGTACGTGACAAGGAGTAGGATCGCCCGCCCAATCTCGTTGGTTTTTATACGTGGCGTAAGGGTTTCTCCCGTTTCTAAAGATCGATACATGCAAGCGGATTATTGACATAAGAATAAACCATAAGTTATTCCTAAAATGACCTAGTTTGTTTCGAGTGGGCGTTAACACCTCTTACCCCCCCCCCACTCCATTTACTTGATTTGATATGTTTGTTGTTTATTGTCTGTGTGTCTTGTCAGTAGGTTTGTCTGATAGGTTTTGAATGTGTGTAGTGCACCCCTCCTTTACTTACTATTATAAAGACACATGTTGATAATATGGTGACTAAAACCTGGTCATTTGAGTGTGGTAGAGACGGCTTTCCTTGCCAGAGAAGATATTGAAATGGGAGATAACTGCGATCACCTTACTAGAAGAAAGAGTGTTAAATACTACAGGTTATTGAAGGATAACTGTGGGGCAATCTGACTTTTCGGGCAGACGGGTAAAGTGAAAACAAACATTATTATTTCATCTAGTTGACAAAGTCTAAAAAAACACTAATTTTACTTTTCTTTAATTGAATACCACGAATTTGTACTGAATTGACTATGGATTAAAACATTTTGTCTGGAGCCACTCTACTTTGTACGACAATTTTCGGGCATCGATTATTATTTGTGAATACAGCTTGAACGCATTTGCGGGGATTAAATTTTCAAAATTTTCTCGGGAAATTAGTTGGTTGTTTGGGATTTAGGATTCAGGTAAGTCACGTAAGGTAGGTTATATTGGACCGCATTGAAGTTGCTGTATTCACGGACTGGAATAGCTGGAAAACGCGTCAAAATGCCATCGATCTCGTACGCCTATGCTTTACGGAACAGTTTTATGTATACACTTATCTGATATCAGCAGATTTATGTTGCTAAGAGGACACCGGTGATTCTAGAAACACCCGTCATAAAAGGTTTCTGGTTATTAAAAAAATCTAAAAGTCACGTCATGATCTAAATTTATAAATAATGAATTACACCAACCATATATTTATCGTTGATGTCATACATTACATATTCAATTTCACACACCGTCTCTTTATATTATTGACGTACTTATTCAACAAGGGCGTTACTCAAATATCTATTTTATTTTTACACACGTGACGGCGTTAAGGATCATAAAAGGTCTGACTATTAATTTTATTTGTGCAAACCAGTGAAGTGTTACATACTGTATAAAACGATGATGTTAATACAACCGTCTTAATGCTAGGATCCCACTATCACCATTCGCGCCAGGAAGGCGCGTTTGTGGGCGTCAAATTTTCCAGTTTTTCTCTTCGCCTCTCACAGGCGGCAGGCTGTAACCCGAATTTTTTTTCCGGCGTTTCAGGTTCTGCCCCTCTAACATTCATCGAGACCGTATGCAAGTGGTGTAGCATCGATTCCCAGCGTATACAGGACCTCGGGCATTCTACTACTGCTAAAGACCCATATTAACAACCGAATGTCCCATCTCCCCCCTCCATCTCTCCCTCTCCCTCTCTCTCTCTCTCCCTCTCTCGCTCTCTCTTGCATTTTGCACCAAACATATTTTATCGTTGATTACAGGTATAAAAGCACACGTTTTGGACACACGAAAACCAAATATTACTAGAACAGAGAGTGGCGAGAACATGACGTCATACTCCATTTACATGATCTTATCGGCATCCCCGACAATATACATTGTACCGTGCCCTCAAATTCCCCTGACATCATTATTTTAATATAGCAACAAAGCCAACACCCGACATATTTAAAGTGATATGAATAATGGTAACCATAGTGATTTTTGTAACTATCGGTGTAAAAAACACCTTTCTCTTAAACTTGTTATTTACTGGAGTTTAAAGATACATTATGTAAGATTTATATAAACACCTGGCCGTTCGTGCTATAATAGTTCAAAAATAGATTATGAAATATGAATATATTGAAAAATTCATTCAAATTACTTAATATTCTGAGCGAAGTTATCACTGCTTAAAGATGTAGAGCAGATTGTTTATTATCCAAGCAATTGTACTTAACAATCGAGACTTAGTCTAGATTATCCAGTTTTAAATTAGATTATTATATGGCGATATGGTTTCGATCATCCGATGTTCTAGATAGTTGATTAAGGGCTTGTCATGTGAATGACTGTCTAAATAATAGTTTATATAACATTTGAAGCCTAAATAATAAGCATGCAATAAGCAGATTTAGCTTTTACATAATACATCTTTAACTTTTCTCAAAATTCTCGGAGAAGTTTGTCTGGGCTTTAGAATCTTTCCCCCGCACAGTTAAGTCGTGTAATTTATAAAATTATATTTTGTATTCACCAGTCATTATC